CAACTATACGAACTTAAAATTTCTTTGATGTTTGATCTGAGAGATCGCTATTTATATAGGTAAATAGGTGTATTAAAAAAGCTGCAAACCGAAATGGTTCAAGGCAGGAATTTCTCTAAAATTAATCCTAAATCAAGTGCAACTTGAAGCGATGGACGATGTCAAATCAAGGTTGTGGAGCAGAACTTCATCTCTTGAATATGGTTCGTTCATGAACCGAACCTTAAGGAGCCGAGTTGTTTAAGCCGATTCTTCTATTCTCATTGGGCTTACAGGCCTTGTCGTAAGCTTCTCACTCCTGCTCGAAGAAGTTTCTATGGCGTAACGTCAAGCAATTAAAATGCTTTGCCAGCATGACGAGTGGGCGTAACTTAAAGCAGGATATTTATACGTTCAAAATAGCTGGGCTTAGATTGAAATTTGTTTTCCATTTGCATATGTCTAAGCACCCCAATATATATATATATAATGTGAGCTGATGTGCGTTGTCGAAACAACTTTGGCTTGTCTCAAAGTATTTCAAACTCATTTAGCTGGGAAAGTCGCGTGGGCTGCTGCTGCTGCTGCTCCTGCTGGTTGTCGTGGCGTGGCTTTTGCTGTAATTTCGTTGTCATTAAGTTGGCATTATAACAAAATGCCTTTTCAATCACTTTTGACTAAATGCAATGGCTCCGGCTGCTGGGAGCTGCCACTGGCACCCAGCAATCCAGCCAGCCAGCCAGCCAGCCAGCTGCCATTCGCCTCTGCTTGCCGCGCTTCAGCAAGTTTCGGCAATTTTTCGACAGGGATAAGTAAAAACAACAATGGCAGGGACTGGGTGCCACAATTGAGGAGAGCAGCAGCACAGAAGAAGCGGACGAAGAAGATGAAGCAAACCGCAAAGTAAAAAAACACACTAAGGGAAAAAAATGATCTACAGATCGCCGCAGTTCAAATACTCTCCAACTATGTGTCTCCAACTATGTGTCCTGTGAGATATATAAGAATATATATACAAATATATATTGCCATAAATATATATATTGCCATAAACTGCCAATTTTACCTGACCGTAAATTGTCTCAGCTTATAAAAGGCCCTGAAATATAAATTTTCTGAAAATATTTTCGAATTTTCCGAAAATAAATGCTTGTGCTGAAAATAGTTTAAAAGCGTTGAGTAACTAAGTTAGTTTTTCATGCAAAAATTAAAAATTTGAATCTAATTTTATATAATTTTATATATATATATATATATAAATTTATTTGATAGGACGTAACATATTGCATGAAAAACTTGACATACTCGCTACTGCAAAGTATTACAAAAAAGAAACATGGGACATGGGCAAGAGTAGCTTTGTCCTGGGAAAGCGAGAATGGAACGCAGTAAATTTCAAGCGTTTCGTCAATGTCATTGTGGCTGGCGTAGACCAAGGATCGGGCACTGGGACTGGGTAATGCCCACGCATATCCTTTTGTATTTAAAATGTGTGTTTGCCTTGCCTGATGAACAGCGCGAAAAACTTTTCTTTGGCACTGCTTTTTTTTGCTGCTCCTTCCTCTTTTTTTTTTTTTTTTACTTGTGCCACGCAACAATTTCATTATCTGCGTGGCAAGGACTTTGTCAGCGAGGACTCGGAGTGAATAAAGAAGCGAGTCTGAGCGATAGGCCAGTTGTCTACGGTTGGCGACACGCGGCTCGAGTGCCAGTTGGCAAATTTTTATGGTTAAACTTTTGCATGTCGCATATGTGGGCGTGGCAAGCTTGACAGTGCAATACGCAGGCGGGCAACAGCGGGAGTGGTGGAAGGATAAACACTCGAAATAGGATACACGCGCTGCAGCAACAAAAAACCAAAGACAACGAAAGCCAACGAAAACAGCTTGGGGGCGCATTTGCATAGGCTTAATTCAAATTCCCTTAATCAGGAGCATATCAGACAACAACAACAAAAGCAACAACGCGTAACTGCGGCCAAAAAAGGACAATGAGCGACAGGACCCTTTTAGCAGGCATAACCAAGACGAGCCGTGCCCAAAACAAAAAGATGAAGAAAATGAAAAAAAAAAGGTTCGCTTAACTTTGCCAAATAACTGCAGGCGTTGTAAATCTGCGCAAAAGGACATCTCGTCATCAAGCATAACAAAAGCAGCAGCAGTACTCACAACAATAACAACAACAACAAAAACAGCTCACAGGAGCTGCTGAAAATAAGAAAATCAAAAGGATTTTGCGTATAAGTTGCAAATTAAATTGCCGCCATCATCGCAGTCGCTAAAGACGCTAACGCTTTAGTCCTTGCCATCTGCTTACGTTATCCTGCTTGGCTTCTTGGCAACAACAACAACAACAACAACAAGAGGAAAACATAACAACATATCCTGCCACATACTAATTTTCATTTATATAAAACCAGCAACGAGTGTTTATTCAGCTGTGCGTCAATTATGCAACACTTGGCTAAACAATACTGATTTTTATTTGCCAATTACAATATTTATTTATCTCTAGCCAACTATTTAAGTTATGAATACTTGAGGTTTCATTCAGCAGCAGGTTTCGTCAATTAACCTCAAAATAATCGGACATGAAAATCGCATAGAAAGGCGTTTCGTGTTTTTTTAAGAGAATTAAGCACAGCATCAAAAATCGACTGCTGCCTCGACCCTGAATGCCTTGCTATACTAATTTGTTTTCGAGCATATTGACTGATTCGTTTGTGCTTTGTTAGCTAAGGAGCTTTGTTTGCTTGCTGCCCTTTACATACCCTGTACTTATAACATGGACATGCAAAAGACAGCTATGCTAGGCGTAAGAGACAACGGTGAAAAAATGCAACTTCTAAAAGGTATTTGGAATCGGGGCGACCCAGTTCCAGGCCATCGGCCAGCATTAAGACTTGTTTTTGATATTTTGCTGACATTCTTATTTATTTGCTTTATTTGCTTTGCCATTTGCTTTTAAAGCCGCTTACCCCTCGTCCAACAGATGTGTGTGTGTGTGTGTGTGTGGGTGTGTTGCGTAATGGCCAAGGAAGTGAGTTTTGCCTGGGGCCAGGGTGGGGGTCGCTGCAGTGCTTTAGGTTTATCTAACAGCCAACATCAACGGCCGTTAGCCTGCGCCCCAAAAATCCTTTAATTGAGTGCACACTTCTGCCAAGCAGCGTCCGACACACACACTCACCCACATACACACACACAGTCTTCAACACACACTCACACATCCAACTGCAAGTGGCGGCGCCTCCAGGGGGCTGGCTGCTCGACTGGGATGCTCGCTGCCTTTTTATGCGCTTTTAGCGCCATTATCCTTTTACGATTATCGCCGCTAAAGCGAATTGACTGTTTGACGTTCAATTGAAATTTTGCATTAAAGCTCAATGGCTTAACCCCTTCAAATTATGCAATAACGCTCTGCAAGCCGAACTCCCGACCTCCCAGCTAGCGATGAGCGCGTGCCCTGTTTTTCATCTCAACCAGACACGAACCCGAATTAGGCACGCTGCAACTAACTTAAAGACGATTTCAATTACTGGAACTTACAACTTCTATAACCTCTAATATATACAAAGTATATTCTCCAAACCGAACTCCCGACCTCCCAGTTGGCGATGAGCGCGTGGCTCGTTTTTTATCTCGACCAGACACGAGCACGAAATGGGCACGTTGCAACTAACTAAAACACGCTTTGAATAAGTTGGCCTTAAATCTTCTATAACTGCTAATATCCAAACTATATTGCCCAAATTCCGCACCTAACACGAAAATTCAATTTTGAACACGAACACGTAGTGTTTGAGAGCACGACACGCGCTCAGCTCTGGAGCAGCAACCGTTAAGCCTCAGCTCAAACGCGCAGCTGAAGCTCAAAATGGCAACTGGAATGACGAAGAAGAGCAATGGGCGATAAAGAAGAAGGAGGAGCAGGAGTAAGAGGAGCACAAGGAGGTGGGGGAGGGGGCAGTGCCACTGAGTGTGGCAACGAACGGCGGCCAATTAGTGCGCATTGCTCATACGCCACGTTTGTCATGACAGCCGAGCGGCCGAGCTCACACATACATGAGCATGTCGCCATCTCTCTCTCTCTCGCTTTGCTCGCCTAGCGGAAACGGAAGTTGTAAGGGGATTTTCAATTTGCAATTGAACTGATTTTTGGCTTGCTTCGGCGTTTTTTTTTTCTGCGCTCATTTTATGGCTGACTTGGTTACTTGGCTGCGGTGCCGAGCGCCGAATGCGGAAATGTAATCATCGCAATGCCTTCCCCCGCCCGCCTACCACGTGCAGGGCTTATCGGCAAAGTCAAGCGCACACACACACATACACACACAGCTGCATATGGGTGTACATGTGTGTATGTGTGAGCATATATATATATACTTACATTTAATTTCCACTAATTGAATCGAAATCGATCTCTGCATTTTTGTGCGCTCGAGGGCTTACACCGGGGTGTGGGGTGCTGCTGGCCTCTTTGGGGGCGTTTGTGCGGTGGCCTGGCGAGGCGTGGCAGCTGCCAACGCCCGCTCTTTGAGCGCATTAATAAACTTTTCGTATAAATCAACGAATTTTGTCGACATTTGGTTGCCGTTGCGAAAATTATCGAAAATTTCCTGCAAAAACGCCGAAACGGAACATGGAAGCGGGCTAAAAGGATTAACTGGCGCTGACTTTTATGCAAGTCCAAAATGGGTAAAACAAAAAACAACTAGAAAAAAACCCCGTTTGCAAATGCCAAAGTGCGGTTTAAGCTAAAAATTAGCTCAACTGGAGTGTTGCGAGTGTTTTGTTTAAAGAAACGGGCAGCAAATGAAAATAGCGCTATTTACGATAAAGTAAGGATAACTTCAACACGCCGAAGAGTTAATAACCTTGTAGACTTTTTCCTTCTGCAGATATGTGAGAATAATGCTGAGTTTGATGAAAATATCTCGAAAAACAGAGAACGCACTTTATGACAATATAATATACAAAAAATAATATAATATATAATATAATATATAATGTAAAACGCTCTACAAGAGTATAACAAGAATTTACTAAGGTTTTAGTCTTGACCTATTAGCAAAATACAAGTATGCACGTAAATTTATTGCATCTTATTAAGCTTTAATTTAAAGTCCTTTTAATCATCACAAAAACATACACAGCTATATGTCGCTCAGGTCTCGTATCCTCTATTAAAACGTACTTAAAATTTTTCATCAAATTAAGGCCAAATTTAAGACCAGATTAGGCATAATAGCCAATACTACTAAATATAGGAAGCTACATTTTCGGCCAGATCAGCTAAGGTCTTGACCAGATTGTCATGGGTCTTCTGCAGTTGCTCCTCGACGTATTCCTGGCCATCCTTGTGATTCAAAAATTTCATAGTACCCAATTCGTAAAGAGCTTCGGTGCATTGCTCCCGTATCAGGCCCCAGGTGACATGGGCCTCCTGTCCAGCCGTGCTCTCCACAGCCATCACGGCGTGTGTGTAGAAGGCGATCATATTTTTCAGCATGCCCACCGTCTTGTAGAACGGACAGAAGCAGTCGTAGGTGCTGTACGAGTTCTGCTGAAGGAAGTCATCCTTCAGAATTCTGGCAACCTCCAGCGTTATTTTGTCTACCTCGTTTAGAGAGGTTTTGCCCACCAGCTGTACAATTTCGGCCAGATCCTCCTCCTCCTGCAAAATTTGTTTCGCTTTGGCACGTAGCTCCACAAACTCTGGACTTTCGGCCTCATAGTACGCATCCAGCGCACGTATATACTTCGAATAGGACTGCAGCCAATTGACCGAGGGAAAATGCTTGCGCTGCGCCAGCTTCTTATCCAGACCCCAGAAGACCTGCACGATGCTCAATGTGGCCGACGTAACCGGATCGGAGAAATCGCCACCAGGCGGCGAGACAGCGCCGACAATGGACACGGAACCACGACGCTCGGGACTGCCTAGGCACGAGATGTGGCCGGCGCGCTCATAGAAAGAGGCCAAACGTGCGCCCAAGTAGGCGGGATAGCCCGCATCAGCGGGCATCTCAGCCAGACGACCAGAGATCTCGCGCAAAGCCTCAGCCCAACGGGAGGTGGAATCAGCCATCATGGAGACGTTGTAACCCATATCACGGAAGTATTCGGAGAGCGTGATGCCAGTGTAAATGGAAGCCTCACGAGCAGCGACAGGCATGTTGGAGGTGTTGGCAACCAGCGCGGTGCGCTTCATGATGGACTCTTGGGTGCCATTGACCTCCACCGTCAGCTCGGGAAAATCGCGCAATACCTCAGACATCTCGTTGCCACGCTCACCGCAGCCCACATAGATGATGACATCCGAGTTGGAGTACTTGGACAGGGCCTGTGAAAAGTATGCCAATGAGTGGTGGCCCCATCACTTGCACTCCAAGCTATTGACATACCTGTGAGATGACGGTCTTGCCGCAACCAAAGGCGCCCGGAATGGCTGTGGTGCCGCCTTGAACGCAGGGAAAGAAGGCGTCGAACACTCGTTGGCCAGTTAGCAGTGGATTGTTGCCGGGTAATTTTTCGAGTACCGGTCGACCTTTGCGCACCGGCCACACCTGCAGCATTGTGTGCTGGGTGATCTTGTCTTCGAATTCCGTTTCGATAACCACATCTCCCACGGTGTAAGTGCCGGCGGGCGCGATATACCTGACCCTGCCCTGACTACGCGGCGACATCATCAGGCGATGCTCGAGCATGCTGTTCTCCTGGACCGTGCCATAGATATCGCCGCCCGAGACGAGATCGTCAATGCGCACATTCCGGGGCACAAACTCGTATTCGATCGTGCGCGAGAGGCTGCGAATATCGACGCCCTTGGGCACATAAATGGAGCCCGTCAGCTCGCTGATGGTGCGCAATGGTCGCTGGATGCCATCAAAGATGGCACCCATTATGCCGGGGCCCAGTTCGACAGACAGCGGCGTGCCGGTCTGAAAGACAGGATCACCGACACTGACACCGGACGTCTCCTCGTACACCTGTATGGTGGCCATGTCGCCCTCCAGGCGTATGATCTCGCCGACCAGCCGGAAATGGCCCACGCGCACCAGCTCGTACATGGCCGAGCCGGCCATTTTCTCAGCATTCACAACCGGACCGGAAACGCCAAAGACGCAGCCCCTCTGCATCATTTCAAAGGCACTCTTTCGGCTGGGCGCGTCGTCATTGATGGTGACCGAATTCGTAGATGTATCTGAGCCTGTAAGTATCTTCTCCGAGGTCGTGTCTTGAATGGTCACGGCCAGCTTGCTCATTGTGTCACTTATAAACGAAGTATTCGTTGCTTCCTCAACGGTTTTGGGTAACAGCGACTTCGGGCAAAAGCATTTAAATCGTTTCTCCATTTTGCTGTGGTAAGAGTATTCGCAAAATAAAATACCGAACAATTTGGTTAGAAAAACTCAACTTGGTACAATTTTGTGTGATTTCTTGTATTCTCTTCTGATTGAGTACGAAAAGTGACATAAAAGGAAATAGGAAACGAAAAGTATCAAATCTCTAAAATGGTTTTTTTTTTTTTTTTTCGGACAAACTGACAGCTTGTTTGATTGATTGACTGACGGACTGTCCAAGACGGTCTTTTGAAAAATATAAGATATGATATAAGATATTCTTCTTTTTCACTTTAATACAAATCCGACCCAATGTGTGTCAGATTGAGGACTTAGTCTGCTTATTTTCATCCGATCGTATTGTTTTTTTTATCCTTTTCTTTTTTTATCCGGGTCTGCTTATCTTTACTTTTTTTTGGTACATTTTTTGGTAAATTTTTAAATTTTTTCAAGTGTGGCCCTTCTCCGTGATTCTCACGAATTCAAGTAAGTCTTACCAGTCGCTCTGCTTGAAAGCTATTGTCATTCACACTGGTCCGCCTGGATCGGAGCACTATATCATATAGTTGCCATGCGAATAATCGATCGAAAAAGAAGTTCTTAACACGCCACCAAACTCGTCATTTGTTAGCACTTAACCTTAACCTGTCTTATTTTGACCATGAGAATTATTACCAGAAACAAAGAATACAAATCTAATTGTTGAGCTTCATAAAACTATCTTCAAGTGTCTAGAAATGTTCATTTCTGACTGTTACTAAAGTGCCCGCATAACCAATATACCCTATTTTAACTAAACTCCATAGGTACAGGGTATAAAAAGCCGTTTATCTTCGAATTTCAATCAATTTTATTTAGTTAGGACTTCAGAAACCCATTTAATGCATTCCAGTATTGTTCATCATTGTACAACATGCCGATCTTGGGTAGACAGAGAGAAAAATAGTGAAAGCGAGAGCGAGCGAGAGAGAGAGAGAGAGAGAGAGACAGATAGATAGTTCTGCTTTCAATTACATTAAATGTATTTGTTGTTTGCACTTTATTCGTACATTTAATATTTCATACTTTAAATATTTACATAAGTTTAACAAACAAACAAAGAGAAAACATGACTTTTTCACAAATAAACAAAAGAATTTCCATTCATTAAACAATAATACTATGCATGCATTTGTATCTGCGTGTTTTGTGTGTGCGTGTGCGTGTATGTATGTACTCGTTTGTGTGAGTGTGTGTATGTGTGTGTACATGTATTGGTAATGGAAGTACATAGAAGGACGTTAGTTAGTTGTTGTTATTGTTGTTGTGGCTGTTTGTCGGGGGCAGCCGACAGGCGGGTAAAGAAGTCGCAACCGCAGGCCGGAATGTGTATTCATCTCTCTGACTACATCAAAAAAAAAATAATCATAAAATATATTTCAGGAATGTTAACAATTGTTTTGTGGACGCTTGGAATCTTTTGTTGTTGCACGGAATTGTTGTTTTGACGGTACTCGGTACTGACTGTACGCAATATTTTTTTTGTTTTAAAAGTTAACTACATAACAATATAAGATTAGGTTGTAAAAGTACGGACAACACGCTCTAATCCTCCAGATTCCTGAAGGCCTGCTGCAAATCCTCATGCAGCTGCTCGAAGTCAGCCTTGATCTTGGCCTCACCATCCTTGACGGGATCCTAAAAGTGAATTTATTAAAAAAAAAAAACAAATTAAAATTGAGTTCGCATCTCGAGTGTCCACTGTACGCACCTTGAATTTCATGGACGACAACTGGTACATAATGTTGCCCATAGCCTCGCGTATAACGTTCCAGGTGATCTTGTTCTCGGACTGGGCCGTCGACTCCACAGAGTGGCGGGCCAGATCGTAGAAGTCGATGATGTTCTTCAGCATGCCGACGGTCTTGTAGAAGGGGCAGAAACGATCGTATGAGGAGTACGAGTTCTGTTGCAAGAAATCATCCTTTAGCAGCTTGGCCACTTCCAGGGTGATCTTGTCGGTCTCGGCCAGCGATGCCTTGCCGACCAGCTGCACGATTTCGGACAGATCCTCCTCCTCCTGCAGGATCTCCTTGACCTTGGTACGCAGCGGCACAAACTCGGGGAAGTTCTTGTCATAGAAATCATCCAGGGCACGCATGTATTTGGAGTACGAGATGAGCCAATTGATCGAGGGGAAATGTTTGCGCTGGGCCAGCTTCTTGTCCAGACCCCAGAACACCTGCACGATACCCAGAGTGGCGGAAGTAACGGGATCGGAGAAATCACCACCAGGTGGCGAGACAGCGCCGACAATGGACACGGAGCCCTCACGCTCGGGGTTACCCAAGCACTTGACACGACCGGCACGCTCGTAGAAGGAGGCCAGACGCGCACCCAGATAGGCGGGATAGCCGGAATCGGCAGGCATCTCAGCCAGACGACCAGAAATTTCACGCAGAGCCTCAGCCCAACGGGAGGTGGAATCAGCCATCATGGACACGTTGTAACCCATATCACGGAAGTATTCGGAGAGCGTGATGCCAGTGTAAATGGAAGCCTCACGAGCAGCGACGGGCATGTTGGAGGTGTTGGCCACCAGCGCAGTACGCTTCATGATGGACTCGGTGACGCCGTCGATTTCAACAGACAGCTCGGGGAAATCACGCAATACCTCAGACATTTCGTTACCACGCTCGCCGCAACCGACGTAGACGATGACATCGGAGTTGGAGTACTTGGACAGAGCCTGTGAATGACATGACAGTAAGCGCTTATTCCATTGATTAACCAAGGTGATGACATACCTGTGAGATGACAGTCTTGCCGCAACCGAAAGCACCGGGAATGGCTGTGGTGCCGCCCTGGACGCAGGGGAACAGGGAATCGAGCACACGCTGGCCGGTCAATAGGGGATGGTTGGCGGGCAGCTTCTCGGTGACGGGACGGGGCTGACGCACAGGCCACACTTGCAACATAGTGTGCTTGGTGATCTCGCCATCGAACTCGGTCTCCAGCACGACATCGTCGACTTTGTAGTTGCCGGAGGGGGCAATGTAGCGCACGGTGCCCTTGGCGCGTGGGTTCACGATCATCTTGTGCTTGACCAATGTGTTCTCGTGCACCAGACCGTACAGATCACCGCCGGTGATGTGTGAGCCGACCTTGACATTCAGGGGATTGAATTCCCAGCTGGCCACGCGGGACAACGCTGGCACATTAACACCCTTGGGTATATAGATGGACTCAGTGAGCTCGTGAATGTCCTTCAACGGACGCTGGATACCGTCAAAAATGCTGCCCATAATGCCGGGACCCAGCTCCACGGACAGGGGTTTGCCAGTGCGCAGCACGGGATCACCGACTGTGACGCCGGAGGTTTCTTCGTACACCTGAATGGTGGCCATGTCGCCCTCCAGACGAATGATCTCGCCCACCAGCTCATAGTAGCCCACACGCACCAGCTCGTACATAGCAGAGCCGGACATGCATTCGGCGGTGACGACTAAAGGATTGGTTTTTTAATTTGTGTTATTTTCGATTATTTTTTACGTAATTTTTTCTTTGGGTGCTTACCAGGTCCAGATACTGCGAAGACGCGTCCATATTTGGACTCACGCTCCTCGTCATCGAAACGCTTTAAGTTGGACATTTTGGTATATTTTGACTCTACAACTGCAAAATAGAAAACGATTTAGAAACTTAGTTTTTTTTTTATTTTCGCACAAGATAAAAGATAAGTCCATTGAAAAATTTTCTTATCGCTGTCAGCTGACATATAGAAGGCGCATGTGAGGCGAAGTACCACTAACATAATGGATATCATCTGTATAAAAACTAGCTATAAATATATCTGACTAACATTCAATATTATTATTTTTTAATTATTCCCAAATATCTGTTTTAGGAAACGAATTTAAGACTTTGCAAGCGAAACTCTCCAGTAATGCGTAAACTGTATAAAAATTCACAGGCAGAGCTTTTATTTCACGTGACAAAGCTTTTCAGCAGTTCGAAAAGCCACTTCCACGATGTTGATAACTTTTAACTTTCGAAGAGACGGCGAGTGAGTGTAACTGCCGACACTACAAACCAATTGAAAATTGTAAAGAAAAACAAATATCAGAGCTGCCGTTTTTTCTTAGCTACAAACTACGATTCACGAGAAGAAAAAAATTATATATGCGGGCTGCTTCCAGTTTGTGTTATCTGCTAGAGAGAGAGAGAGTTGAAGTTCCACTGTGAGCCGGAGAGCGAGAGCAGAAGTGAGCGCTCTGCAACTTTGGTTGCGCTCTTGCTCTCGCATTCGAGTTCGAATTTTTGACAATTGCCTTTTGACGTTGATCACAAGACTACTGTCATGCTGTCAGCTGACGACGACTGGAAAAATGCAGACCGAGCTCTGCAAATGCGCTACAGTCGCGCCACCATATTGAATTTTGCCGTCTGCTTTTATTTTGGGAGTTGTCCCCCCGCAAAGAGTGGAGTTCTGCTACAAGGCGACTCCAATAAGAATCTGTTTGTAGTTGGATCACAAGACCCGTGGGGCCGTTGCCGCGCGGGCGGAAGGTCAGCTGACTGAACAATTATTTTTTCCACAATTTTACAATTTTTTTTTAATTATTACGAATAAGGCTTTAATTTTATGGGCACTTTATATGTGGCTATGTTTTTTTATGCAGTCTTATGTTTTTTTTATTTATTGGGTGCATGGTTGCATTTATTATCTAATACGCATGCAAACTGCATGTTGATATTAAGCGCTTTTTTATCACTTGTTGCTTTGAGTTATTAGTTGCGTTAAATAGCATTGTAAGCCTAATGTCTTTAGTTTTAAAATTAACGAAAAATATGTGAACTGTTTCTAAATTAGTTTTCTGTTTTTTTATTTTACTTGTTTGCTTTGTGCTTACATTTCTGTATTGACGTTCCACTGGCGAACGTTGCTGCTTTACTCCAACAGAACTAAAACCGACTGAGCAGCTGCGCAAGCAAAGTTGTCGCTCGAAGTTCGAAAAGTTCCAATGTGTCGTTTGGAAGTCGATCCAACGATCAAGCACAAGCGCTTGAGCTTTTGTGCAAAGCTTTGGCGTTGGCAGCTTTGCGTACGAGTTGTGAGTCGTTGTGCATAAAGCTTTCGTAA